CTTTACTCGTTACTTGAAAAAGTAATCGGATTACAGTAACGCGCCGCCCATCTCTGCTGATCATGTTCATGTTCTGTTTAGTATTCACTGCTTGTTTAATTTGTGGTTTGAGTTGAAACATTAAGTGTAAAAGTGAAGGGATTTTACAGCCCGCTGGAGCCCCCTGGTGGTCAAACTGTGGCAGTGTGTTTGACATTGGATACTCTTTCTGCAGCCTGCCTTTTTGTCAGCCTCTTGAGTGCATCTCATTTTGCTCTCTGTGGGTCTCAGGCAGCGTTTTAAGTTTTTTTAAGAGACTCTATCATCCACCCACCTTGGTTACAGCGAGCTCCTTGCCTTTGGACTCAAACAGATGCTCGAGGCTGGCGGTGTCCACCGCCACCTTATCCAGAGACGCCCACACCGTCCCCCGACCGAAGCGACACTTCTTCGGTCCGTCTGCCTGCTTCAGCTCCTTCCAGAACAGCTTCACCGTCTTCTTCTTCTTCTGAGAGGCACCAAGAAGAGGAGGAGGAGGGGGGACGCCTGGTGGAGGTGGAGGAGGAGGGGGGACACCTGGTGGAGGTGGAGGAGGAGGGGGTGCGAGGCCTCCCGGTGGAGGAGGTGGAGGAGGAGGGGGTGCAAAACCTCCCGGTGGAGGAGGAGGGGGAGGAGCCCCCGGCATGCCAGGAGGGGGAGGAGGAGGGGGAGAGATTCCAGAGAGGGTGAAGGATGAAGTGGAGCAGTCCAAGGTGTCTATGTCCAGGACATCGATGTCCTCCTCGTCCAGCAGGTCAGAAAAGTCCAGGTCCTTGATGCGTAGGGCGGCGGCGCTCGGTTGCAGCTGGTCCCAGGCGTCGGTGGAGCTGCCGGGGCCTAGCGGGGTCATCTGGGTGGTGTCCAGACTGCCGATGTGCGCCTCGGCGTCGATGCTGCTCTGCTGCCGGATGGAACGCTTCTGATGGTGGATGGAGACACATTTATCAGCTTTACGTTCAACCTTCAAACTGTTTCACGCACACGTGAGCCAAAACATGATGCGGCCCCGCAACTCCACCTGCTCTTTAGCACCAACGTGAAGCCAGCGGGCCTCAAACTGGAGCCGCTGA